CTTTCCCTATGCATAACCAGGGGGGCAGATCAACCCACTTTAAGTGACAGCGTGATGAAGGCCAGGCAGTTTTGGTGAGCATTTTTCCCCACACAAATATGTTTCCCCAAAAGACAGCATTCACTGTATGTTATGTTGCGCTGTTCATTTCTTATCTTAGACATACCTATAGACTGAGTGATAACAGGCAGGTTTAGTGTCACAGAGTGAAAGGGACAACCTGGATCACTGAATCTAGTATTCTGCTGTCTCAGGAACCGCTTCAGAAACCTACTCTACAGGTCCCTAGAAGGACTTTGGGCTGCCAGGTTGTTTCGTTTCAGAACTCACTCCTAAGAGCCAGAAATCTTCAAATTCTGAGTCTCATTTTATTTAGGACCATTTTCTTCCTGTGACAGCACTATTCTTCATCTTAAGTAGCTTACAGTATAATAAGCAACCTACTTTTTGTTTTTAGTCATTATGCCTATAGATTTTTAAGCAGCTCACCTTATAAATGTGAAAATAAATAAATAAGTCTATTTAAACACAATGCACACTTACCTGTAAGCATTAATGTAATCCTTTCTGTGTTGCAGAAGAAAATCTTTCAGCTTTCCAATATGAGAAATCTAAATGAATAGAAATCATAATTAAGCTTCAGTCAGATAATGGATTACTTTTATGTTTCAAGTTCAGTATTCCACACTTCAAATATGAATTTGTAAAATTATTTATTCTGTAATCAAAGAGAATCATAAAATTTACTCTTTTGTAGAATTTTCACATTTTGCAAACAGGCAATACATAAGAATCATCTAAAAAAGATCTGTTGTATGAAAGTACAACTCAGAGAGAAGTAGTAAAAATACACATCTTCTATCCAAAAAGCATAAACTAAATACTCAACACTACGATAACACTAAATATAACCACAATATTAAACATTAAAATATTAAACATGATAATAATAACACAAGACTTCATCTAAACTGGCAATCCAGAACCTAATGTACATTTTAGAAAATAAATTCATTTTAGAAGATCACGCAAGAAAGTTTTAAACATTTTACTGGTAAGACAGGATATAAATATTCAAGTTCAGTTACCAGAATTTGTGGAGCAAGGTGCTGTCCCTCTCCTTTCTATTTTTGCCATAACAGAGGGACCAGTTTGTGCCCAAACTAAAGTAGTATCTCTATCATCTGATAATCATTAGTAAGTTTTGCCAGAGCATACATCTCTCTCAATTTTCTATTTCTGGATTTCCACTTCACTGAGGATACATTTTGGTATAAATCCCCTTGATTTTCTTTATTAAAAGTCTTGATAAAGAACCTTTGAAAAGATGAAAAAACTCCTGAAAATCTGAAAGAACTTTTGCAAACTTTAGTCTGATTTAAAGGATCTGGTGTAGCATAAGATGCTGCTTATCTTAGAGAATGGAGGAACTACAGAAATCGAGTTTAATTGGCCACAGAAATGAGATGACTACCAATATGACTTCCTTGGCAGGTCTCGAAGGAGACGTGACGAGGGGGAGAAGGAGAGGAGAGAATTATATACATTAGTAGTCTATATTTTCAAGGGGGAGGCAGGGGGAACCTTTCTAAAGCATATTCTCAAATATCCGTTAATAATTCAATGTAAAAAAGCATGCAAGGAATTTTACAAAACAATAGTTGTTTTAGTTTACAAATACAATAAATGCGGCTTACTCCATGTATCTGGGAAAAAGCATCAGAAGCTGTTCAAGTCTTAAAATCCTATTTTCATGCAAATGTTCCTTGTAATTAAACAAACAAAAAACCACAGAGAAAGAATACAGAATAGTTTGGATAAATAGAAGATTAATTCCCCCAATTATTTTCTTTCAAAAGATCAGCAGCTCTTTGAAAAAAGAGGAAAAATTGTACTTAGTAAGACCGCAGTGATTTGTACAACTAAAAATAAGTGTTTCCTTGTGCAAATAAATACGCATACATTTCCCTATTGTTAATTACTCTGTTTCATTTTCACTACAACTCATTGTATTGGATAAGAATTTTCCCAGTTTTCATGTTTAAAGTTTTCCAAGTGATTAACAGGACAGCAAATTTCATCCCATTCATAGCAAACTGAGTTCTGTTACTACCTCCTGTAGATCCGAATTTTCCTGAAGTGTGTTAGCACCGTCATAAGCAATAAGAAGGGAAATACTGAAATCACTACAAGATCAATGAGGCACAAAGAATAAGCTAAGCCATTCTACAGATGCTTCTTCTCATTGCCACTGGAACTTATTTTTTTGTATACTAATCTCCTTCTCAGCTCAGACTTGGTATGTCATGAAATTTGCTGAATAGGTAAATTAAGCTTGACTATGAAAGCAAAACATTTAAAACAGTCATACAGTGTTTCAGTAGAACAATAATACTTAATAGGCAGAAAGAAAGTACTGCAGAGGACAAAGAACAGAAATGTAAAATAAGAATCCTTTCAAAACATTTACATTAATATGTGAACACACTAAACTAGAAAAGAGATTAGCAAAACTTTATAAGTAATAAATCTTAATATTACTGCGATAGCTACAATTTAGGAGTGATTAACAAGCAGAAAGAATCAGAATGACAAGCAAGAACACTGTCTTACAGTAATTAATTCATCTAGTCACAAAGAGCATTCTATTTAGGCTAAAATTGTCATCGTGTGTTTGAATTGCACTGACCCCACTTTGCCTCTCCTTCATTTGTAAAGCTATTTTCATGAATTTAGAATGACACCATTATGCCCATACTCGCATCAAGCTCTTAGTTCCCAAGATTTGCATCAGAAGTGAGACTTCTTGTTCTACTTTCCCTCAAATTCTAACAGCATCTTCTGCGATGCTGCACTGATGCTATTTCGCTTTTGCCTTTTCTTACCGTTCAAAACTACTGGCATAGTTTAGAATTCAATTTGTCATTACCATATCAACAGAATTTAAAAAATTTTATGAAAAAGGAGGTCTCACTAGCATAACAAGGAATGTGAATTTTATTTAAAAAAAAAAATATTTTTTTTTTGTACAATGCTTAATCTGCTGCAGACACAAAATATCCCTGATCATACAAATATAAATCTTGAAGATATCTCCACTGTCATCAACTTGCAATTATTCTGGGGTTATCAGAGGCACACCATACACTCTTTCCAAAGTTATCAAGCTCCAGCCCAAAGGTAATAAAGCATCTCCCTATTCCAGCTGAATGGCTTTATTAGAATCCTACTACTCTTATTATGAATAAGAACCATCACATTTCCAGGTTTACTGATTGCCAACTTCTATCCATCTGTTCTTGCTTCAAAACAATCCTTTCCCTTAAAAGCTCTGCTTCCCTGCATGTGTGTTTGAGTTTACCATCAATAATCCTATCTCTCTTCTTCTGTAGCCCCAGACAAATGATCCTAAGCTTTTAGTTTCTTCTCACAAGATCGCTCTGGAGTTGCCTAACCCATATCTTTCCTTTGCATTTGCTCCAGTTTGTACCCATCCTTTTCCAACGCAGATGCTAGAAGGGCATTCACTGGCGTTAGTTACTTTGAAACTCAGCTGGAAATATCTTTTCGTCCACTATTTTCATTTATTAGTTTTGAGCTTATTCTTTGTTTCGGTCTCTAAATACATGTTCTACTGCTGAATTTCTTTCTTCTCCCCACAACTCCAGATCCCAGAGTCATTCAGCACTTGCTGTAACATATCATGCTCCTCCCTCGCCTTCCTCTCAGCATTCCCTCATCAGTATATTTTACTTACTCTGGGATTGATTTTAAAACTCATCTTGTTTAGTACTGTTCTTATTTTGGGGAATGCAAAAAGTAATTCCACTATTAACCAACCTCTCTTCAGCCCAACACTTCTTTCAACACAGAAGCATTGCTTCTGCTTATTCAGTTAGTATTTTCACTGCTAATCTCTAGACTTCCTATTAGCGCGTCAGCAGACACTTCACCATCAGATATCAGGCCATCTTAATGAAGGAAAAGCAGATTTTCTTGAAGCATCAAGTTAGTTGGGCACATCCTATTTTTAGTAAGACAGCAAATCATACTGCATTGTATCTTGCTTTCTATTTATCTTTTTCCCCTTAAAATCTTTTCTGAATCCTGAACCACTTCTGGGTCAGGCCCTGCTGATGTCATTATCAGTTTCCCTCTGCTGACTTATAGGCATTAAATTTGCTTCCCCCAGTCAAACGATACCATCTTCAGTTCAAAGTATTTTCATTAGAAATAGCTGCCTTCAGAACTCGGGATTTCTCAAATCCACCACATCTGAACTCAACCCAGAGATCATCTGATAACCACAATTTGACTGCATTGAAGTTCTGAGATTTTGTGCAAATTTCCAATTCTGTGCTCCGATTCCCTGTACATATTTTGCTTTTACCCTGCTGGTCCATGGCTTTTTCCTTATTAATTTAGTGTGGAGATCATGCCTAAACTATTCTTAATCTGTACTCCAGCTGCATGACAAATCCACTTCTTTGCTAATTGTCTTTTTATTTGTTTAATACCATTAGTTAACTTATCACACATTTTGCCAAACCTGACTTTCTCTCTACAAAGTTTCCCTTCTGCCACAGTTTTCTTGGCCAGTCAGTCTCTCTCTGCCCCCTGCCCAGCTTTTTCTGCCTCTGGGCTAATTTTTTGTATCTTCTCTAATTAATCTTTCAAGTAGACCTAGAACAATTTTAAATGCCACTTGCAATTCAGCATATCCATTTTTTCTACTCCATTTACCCATCCACCATAACTGCCACTTCCTATTTGCTGTATATGCCCGTTTTCACAAGAATTATAGCAGCAGTTGACACAGCCATCAACAGGACAGATGAAAGCAATTTGAAGACGAAGCACAAACACATCTGGGTACTGGCCTTTTGTCATGGTTCCCATTCTCTGCCTCTGGAAATGAGCTTTCTTCTTCTCTGAAAATCTGGAGCAGAGAAATAAGCCTCTCCTTCAACCTTGAAATAATGAAATTATTTCCTTTTTTCCCTGAAGGGATAGGAGGGCTTAGAGAAATGCCCTTCATAGTTGCAGCACACTTGCACTAAATTAAGACTAAACTTATCTTATGGAGAGGAACACTGCCGAATTTCCAGATATAACTGACATTTTTATGACAATCATGGGAAAAAAATACCTTTCCTCCTAATATTGCCAACATCAGTTATATCGTTATACTAAGAGCGTATTCTCGGGCTTCTGTTCACTACCAGAATATGGAGGGTTACGTTCTTTCTGGCAATGAAGACCACTTAGAAAACTCCAGGCTCTCCCTCTTCTCTTCCCATTCCCACTGGCACTCCCTTGAGGGTCAACACCACACACCAAAACAATGAAATGACTTTTTTCTAAATTACTGTTCTGGAAATGGGGGTTAATAATGCTTAAGACCAAATATAAAGAATGGGTTTCTTTCATTGCAGTTCCATAAATACCTGTATCAGCACAAGGGAGAGCAGACACTGGATAGTCCCAGTAGGGAACCTCCTGAAAGACACATCTGCCATGAAAGGAGGTTTATTTAGTCACAACTTAAGAAACTTAAACTGATAAGCTCCTAAGCTCAGGTACCAAAGCTGGAGACTCCAAGTGTTATGTAAAAACTCCCAAGTGTAGTTCTGATCATGCCAAAACAACTGAATCTCTGCAGTGAAGCAGCAGCAGTTTTCCACTGGGTGGCAACAAAAGCATCAGCATCACGCAAGTAAAAAACACTCTATAAATTCACATTAAAGCCTGTAATGTAACTTTTGTAAAGTTACTTCAGGTTCCAGTTGGCACTTCAAAAAGTTTATCTTCATTGTAAACTACCTCTTTAACACACATATCTGTGTTTTGTTGCCACTGTAGATTTTTTAAACAACTCTTATTAAAACATAAAAGCAAATATTGCATATAATGCAGGTCCAACACAAAAGGAAGCCGTGAATGGCTGCCATCTGCTACCACAGGTGGCATGCACAGCTCTGTTTATACTTGGGGCCTTCACTGGAAATGGTAGATGTTCTTCTATTTAGAGATTTTTCTCAAGATTTTAGAGCAGGCTAGATTTTTAAATAAGAGAAACAGGAAAGCATTCCCTCCAAAGCAGCATCTTCAAAAGATGCATATACTTTAGAACAAAGACGCTGACTCTGCTTCCTTCAGTATCTTAGCAATACATACAACATTTCTTTCCACTCCCCACAAAGAATTGATCACTCATGAAACAGTAGGTTCCAATTTGCATACGTTTAACCCACTGCAAGAAGCAGCAGCATTGTTTACGATTAAAATGATTGGAGTAGGTTCCCGTGACATATTGTAGGGAGAATTCGACAGCATTGAATAGTCATTTTCAATGAACAAACATAGCATTTTATCAAGTTTACTCTTCCATCAGAACAATAAGCAACTATTTACTACCATATAAATTGACTGTTACACTTCGCACTATACTGCCATTCTGAATTTTTAAAAGATGTACTTTGTTAAAGAAAACTTTAAAAATACTTAAAACCAAAACATAATAGAAAGGCTTTTGCAAAAGTCATAAGAAACACAGCATTTACTGTTGATTTTGCAGCATTGACAAGCGCTGCTGATGGAAGTGTCTTAACCACAAAAATAAAAAGTTTTAATTTTTCAACATCCAAAAAGCCTGATCTTCAAATGTCTTACCTAAATAGATCCCATCTACAGATTCATGAAAAGGTGACTACATTCTACAAACCGCTCTGCAAAGAGCAGAAAATTCAAGATTGTTATAATATTAATATCTAGACACCTATGATGTTTTCAATTCCAAACACAGAGTCAACCCAAACATACCCACTGCCTATTTCAGAAGAAATCAAGAATTTCAATAAGGCATTAAGTGCTATACAGGGACTGCATGTTTCCGACCAAAAAAAGTACAGCCTCAGTACTAGGAGGAGATAAAGTAATTGGTGTAAGAACATAAACTTGTTTTTATTACCAAAACATTGTTTCCAATGTCTAATCCATATTTAAAAAAAAAAAAAAAAAAAAAGAAAAAAAAGAAGGAAGTTTTCCATGGCATGTTATGAAGGAACATTTTCAGAAATCTGGAATAACACCTGAACAGAATAGATACTATAAACAGAAACCTGATTTATATTAAATAAATTCTAAAATTAAGAGCTTGGGCTCTTACCTAAACTATTACAGTTGGGAAAGACGAGTTAGAAAAGTTTTGATGCAGAAATTACTCCTATGGAGAAGTTTTCCACTAGAAACTACCTTTGATTAGATAGTTATGAATTTTTAAAAATACAACACGTGAAAGGCCAGGTCCCACACAGCTTCCTTCTAGGTTGTATTTTGTCAGCCCATTGAATTCACACAGGCTTCTGCAGAATGTTGCCTGAGAACAGACAAGATTTTGTTTTTAAAAGACTACTACCTGGATTCTACATTTCAGAAATTGGAACCTTCAAAAGACAAAATGATACAATTCCCTGATACAGTGACATGCAACAAAGGTTAAGCCAATTAAATGAAAGCAAAGATTAAATTCAGAGCTTGAAGCTTCAGCTCTGAATTTAATAGTGCGAAAACTTACTTAAAGGGGTCTGAATGGTGACTTATTAGTAGCCCATGAGGTGGTGCTGTCCTACCAGAATTCATCGCAGAGGAGCACTGGCTGCCTCCAAACGTCGACTGGCCGGTTTTCAGCTGATTTGTCTCTTGAGGGGATACATTTGGTTTAGGTTTCCCCAGCAAACGTGAAAGTTTCTAAATTAGGTCACACAGATCAATTGCTCTCGTAATCTGAAACCCAAAAGAGCAAATAATATCTAAACTGTGGCGTGGGGGTGGCCCGATGCTGGAAGTGGGTAGCAGGAGGCGAGGAGACAGCCAGCCTGGCTACCTCTAATCTCGGGAAAATTGTGACTTTGTTCAGTTTCTGCTTTACATCAGCATATATGTTACAGCGGCAGCAACGGGCAGGGCAACATTTTAACTGCGTTTAATTAGTAGTCTTGCATTCGAAGTAAAGGAATTAACATAAGCAAGAATGGGGGCGTTGTATTAATAAAATGTGTGGTACATGGGGTAAGAACATTCAAAACGGAATTAACTGAATTAAAAGCCATGAAAATGAAGACTGAGGCATTTTGATTCTTCAAGGTAAAGATGGTACAAAACTTGAAAAATATCTAAAAAATAAAATGTGTAATATTATCAGTATTTTTCCAATTTAATATAACACAATATTTTTTTGTAAAACCAAAGTAAAATTTTAAGGCATCACTGCAAAATTTTGCATTAGCCATTGCGGGATATTGGAAGATAAAACCTGTTTGCAGAATACCACGGGCAGTATCCAGTGATCATTAACAAACTGATTAAGAAACCTCCAGACTGCAGTAAGAAGCATAGCCGATTTCCTAATGCCTGGTCTGGAGCAGAAAATGCTTCCTTATGCTAAATATCAAACTGGCAAAAAGCAAAGAGTGAAAAAGCACTGTCTTGCACAGTAAAGGAAAAAAAAAAAAAACCAGCTTGCTTTTAAAGGAAATATTCTTGGTTTTTTAATTCCTGCTTTACTTAGCATATATTTATAAATACTGCCTATGGTTTAAAAATTCTCTCTCACTGATTTTTGCTACTGTCAGTTCACACTTGAAATACTTAGCCTCTAAAGCACACTTTAGATCTGCACTTGGTTATTCCCATTTTTTTATTCACCATTTATTATACAAAGTGGAAAATTCGGTAGTAAATAACTCACTATCAGCCTAAAAGCCTCACATTTCATCTTACCATGCTTTCCTTAAAAAGAATCCAGAGTTGGTATAAGATTTGGTCAAGCGCATGATGAAGAGATTAATTTTGGCATTCTGTGACACAATTGCAAACCATTTTTCGTTCAAGACTCATCTAATAAGAGTAAAGCAAAATTAAGACCTAAGAGCTCGAAAGCTCCAGTTCCCCACTGCTCACAATAAAGACTGAAAGTACCAGTATTATCACTGGATTTAGGTTTTACTGGGGGTGGGGTTGCTGCATGTTTTAAAAATGTGTACGGTACACAGAGCACACTCCAAATGTATAGAAAAATTATTTTGAAGCCATTGCATTTTTTTTTTTAAGATTGAAGTTATCCTAATGTATATTGTATATTCTTAAAACCATTTTAATGCTGTGTATTTCAGGCATTTATAAATACAGAAAAAGAAATATTTTATAGGATAATTACTTAAACTCTGAATTTCAATTCTGAACCAGAAAACTGCAATACATGTAGAATTTAAGATAAAGAGGTCTGTGTTAATTTTGTCACTGTTTTCTTAGGTCTTGTGGGAACACACTGGTTTGATACCTGCACATACAGAAGCACATCTAAATATTCTGAAAATGGACTGTAGAGGGTCAACTGGAACATGAGGCGACTTCCAGAAAAAATTAACAGTAGGCTTTCTAAAACATAATGTCACGCTAAATGTTTTTAGTAACCAGTCTTCACTTATTCTCTGTGGCAACAAATACCTTCAATAAAAAAAAGCAACATCTGATTTTAATAAAACTTACTATTTCCCTTTTTCTTGTTTATTGTCCAACTCTAATCATAACTTGCTTTAACGTTTATATTTTTACACAATCATCCAAAACCTCATTGACTAAAATATAAACCCCACAACAATTGTGGGGAATGTTTTGGTTGAGAGATAAAAGTAAATGGGTCAAAATACGTAGTTGCAATAATTGGCCTTTACCATTGCTGTTCAAAACGCTCCATTTACAAGCTTTCAGTAACTGCATTAAACTTTGCTTGTGTCTTTCTGTAAGGGATATTTTTCTTGTCCCTTGTTCTCACAGCCTGAGCTCATTTAGTGCTATGTTTTCTTGACTCAAAGATGTTTTACAATATA